AATCCTGTTTACTGTACTGTACTCGCTTATTCGCTGACTCGATCAATTGATCGCTCGCTCATTCGACTCTCATACTCACTCGCCTGCTTTATGGCACTACTCTTTCATGCTTGCTTAACCTGCCTGTAAATTTGGATATCTGTGTGTGGTCCAATAATAAACGCCTTCTGATTTATATACAGTTAGGGGCGTTATCGAGTAATGGTTATCAGGACGAACAATATATGAAGTTTAAGGATAATATCGAATATCGACCACCACAATCGTACTTAATAAACTTCAGGGGAATAAATTGTGTGTTTTTGAACGTATGAAATATTGATTCATGCATCTTGATATTGTCCCGACGAGAATTATGAATGGTAACTTTTGAGAACTATTTATGGAACAGTACGATATAAATATTTTTATTGTATAATTTTTATGTAACTAAACTATGTATATTCTCATAGTATTGTTTGTTTGGATCTTCCCATCGATGTGTTTAGGACTGCAACTGGTCAGTCTCTAATTGGCATATGTGCATACTGTGCGTATTGCCTCGATATACCTTAATTCACAAGCATGGTAAGCAGAGATGGATAGTGGCTAGCAGTGGAATCCAGGACGCGCGTTTCGTCCTATTTGGGACTCGTCAGCTGGATGTACCTGCATCTCAGAGTTGATGTTCACTCTGGGACTCGAACCCAGTACCCTCGCTTCAAACGCCATCGCACAAGCGATTTATTATTCTTCAGTTATACCCAGTCTATTAATTACAATCTCCCACATTCGCAACCACTTTTGGCTAGATCATGTACAATTGTTGTTTCCTACTTCATGGTACGATGTGGTCTGTTTGGTTTGTATACATGAATCATATCGCTGAGGATGAGATTAGTGTTCTGGGCCCAACAGGCAGGGCTAGTCAGGAAGAAGGACCGATAAAGACTTTAGACTGATCGTACGAGTTTATGCTTCGTTGGTCCGGTCGATAAATCATTGTCTCTCCAAATGGTGGTATAATTACGTTATATTTTAATAAGGCTCAAGGCTACAACTTATAATAGATATAAAAATACTGACTGAAGAAGAAACATAAACATCTTCTTGAAGTTGTTAACTTCAGATCTTTATAGTCTTACTCATTAAGCTTTAATAAATAAAAAGAGTCCTCTAGATACTTTACAATAAAATTATTTTTTTAAAATAATTTCCCGGGTGCAGAAGAGTATTCCAGATCACGGTCGACCATAGATATTATCCCAACTTCATTTGTTTTCTCTCAAATGGTCATAACTGGGTAATTTAAATCGACCTTCAATATTTTCATATTAAGTGTTAAATTCAGACATTTCTAAATTTTTTGTTAAACATTTCAATTATTCTGTTTAAGAGAATCTTGTGACCAACCTATTTATTATATACATATTAAAATTTTAAGTGATACTCGAAGTTAAATCTTTCTTTGCCAGTTGTTATACCAAACAAAATATTTGCTTGGATTGAATCGATTGTACAATAACTGATCGATAGTTTAAGTTGATTGTGTCAAAATGTTGACTACTCACAAAACCCAAATCTGTTGACGTAACAGCTCTAACAAACACATATCAGAAGATGAAATAATCCATCATCACATATATGTGTTATTTTGTGTTATAAAGTTATAGATCGATATACAAAATAATTCATTCATATTGGTTATTTAAATCTTTTCATTGCTGTTTACTACTCCAATTGATTAGTCTCTTCTGAGATATGTACATCTTCTATAGATTGCCTCGATACTGTTATTAGTTTACAACCATTTTTGAGCAGAGACGGATGGTAGCTAACAGTGTAATCCACGACGTGCGTTTTGTCCTAATTACGGCTGGTTAGTTGGATGTAGTTGCATTTCAGAGTTGATGTTCACTCCGGGACTTTAATCTAGTACCGTTCGCTCCCAACCCTCTCGCGTTATCCACTTAGATACTGAGTCCACAGAGCCAATTGCCGAAATAAGATGAAACGCACATTCTCAAATTTCATTGTTATCCATCATCTATCTCTGCTTATAATGCACAAGATATTATACACAAAATAAATATGATGAAAGTTGATTAAAAAGGTCGGTGATTCTTTGATATGAGTTATGTGGGTTACATACAAATCAAGAAATTAAGACCAAATTATCAGGCTAATACTGACAAACTCACTATGGAAACTTCTTCGACACTATGGAGTACCTGAGGAATTGGTCAACATCGTCCTGAATTCATACGACGGACTACAATGCAAAGTCGTGCATGGAGAACAGCTGACAGTCATGTTCTAAGTAAAGACCGAAGTCAGATAATGCAGCCTATTTTCTCCCTTTATCTTTCTTCTGGTGGTTGACTGGATTATGAAGACCTCGAAATTGGAGAGGAAGCATAGAGTAAAATGGACAGATTGGATACAACTAGACGATCTGGACTTCACGGATCACCTGGCTCTTATACCCCATACACATCAACAAATGCAGGTCAAGACAAACAGTGTAGCAGCCTCTGCATCCGTAGACCTTAACATAAACAAGGGAAAAAGCAACATCCTCATATACAACACGGAGAACACCAACGTATTCACACTAGATGGGGAGACTTTGGAAGAGGTTGACGGTTTCACGTATCTAGGTAGCATCATCGATGAACAAGGAGGATTGAATGCAAACGTTAAGGCAAAGATTGGAAAAACAAGGACAACATTCCTTCAGTTGAATTACATATGGAGCTCAAAACAACTGTCAGCCAATATCAAAGTCACAATCTTCAACACGAACGTCAAATTAGTTAGTTATATTGTAGGGTGCTGAAACGTTGAGAACTACCACAACCATCATCAAAAATGTGCAAGTATTTATAAGTAGTTGTCTACGTAAGATATTGAATATCGGACGGATACCATCAGTGACAGCCTGCTGTGATAGAGAACAAACCAACTTCCAGCTGAGGAGGAAATTAAGAAAAGACGATGGAAGTGAACAGGACACGCATTGAGTAAATCATCAGACTGCATCACAAAGCAAGCACTAACTCGGAATCCTGAAAGAAAATGAAAAAGAGGAATGCCAAAGAACTCACTGCGTCGAGAATTGGAAGCAGCATCTAAAGGATGAATAGCAACTGGAAAGAACTGTCCAGGATAGAGAATGGCGGTGTATGGCCTATGCTCCTCCATGAGGGGTTACAAACGTAAGTAAGCAAGTAAGTTTCAACAACGAAAATTTTACAGATTACACCACAGACAGATCTTCATTAAATATTCGCTAAAAATCAAGAAGTTCTGGCAAGCTGACTTGTTTTTGTCTAAGACTTCTCAGTAGTGAGCACCTAAGATACCACTGGGTATGTAAACCAAGAAATTCGGGTCTTATAGTGAATGTGAAGAATATAAATCATAAGCACAGTGATAACTAATATCAATAGAAGTCATGATTAGCAGAGTTCAGTTGTATCAGCTGTCAAGCAATTACGTAGTAATGATACCTAAAGATGATTGCGCCATATCGTAAATTGATTGAAGTTAGAAGTTTAAGCAAGTGGATGCCGGCTCAGAATTTAGAGTTCAAGCGAGACCTAAACGTCCTGGGTAGGATCTCCAGTAGGGTCGTGAATTCCTATTACTATGGAGTCCCAAACTAAGATGAATGTTTAACTCAGATTTCCTCTTGATTAATTCTATAAATTTCATTCATCATCACAAGGCCACCCACAGTAAATAAGATTTTTAACAATTTACTTTCGTGTTGATGATTTTACAGCATTACAAAAGTAGAAATAAAGATTAATTATAGATGTACATATTATAGTAGTATAACATGATAATTAAAAATGTTGAGCTCTAATTATAATCACATAAAAACTAAAATATCTCTTGGAAATAGGGAGAACTTACTTGCTTACTTACCTACTAACTTACATACTCACTTACTTACTTATTTACTTACTTACGCCTGTTACCCCCTCGTGGAGGATCACAGGCCACCCACTACCATATGAAGAGAAGTTGTGTATTATATATTAAACATAAAGGACTACGAACTCTGAAATGATCATTAATGTAGCAGAAGCCTCTGCATCAGAAGGCCTCAACATTCACAAAGGAAAAAGCAAGATTCTCAAATACAACACGGAGAACACCAACCAACGCAATCACACCTGATGGAAAAACTCTGGAAGAGGGGGAAACATTCACGTACCTGGGAAGCATCGTTGATAATTAAGGATGATCGGATGCAGACGTAAAGGCGAGGATTGGCAAAGCAAAGACCTCATTTCTATAATTGAAGAACATATGGAACTCAAAAAAACTCAACTAAATTCAAAGTGAGAATCTGCAACACGAACGTCAAGACAGTCAGTTCTACTGTACGGAGCTGAAACGTGGAGAACTACTATAACCATCGTCAAGAAGGTACAAGTATTTATAAACAGTTGTCTACGCAAAATACTCAACATTCACTGGCCGAATACCATCAGAAACAGCCTTCTGTAGGAGAAGACAAACCAGCCTCCAGCTGATTAGGTTATTAGGAAAAGACGTTGGAAGTGGATCGGACATACATTGAGGAAATCACCAAACTGCATCACGAGGCAAGCGCTGACTTGACATATTGAAGGGAAACAAAAAAGAGGAATGCTGAAGAACACACCATGTCGGGAAATAGAAGCAGATATGAAAAGGATAAATAACAACTGGAAAGAACTGGAAAGGATTGCCCAGGACATAGTTGGATGTAAAATGCTGGTGTACGGCCTATGCTCCTCGACGAGGGGTAACAGGCGTAAGTAAGTATTTCGATTGCTGTGAGATATGAAAATCTCATAAAGAATAATGATTTCTTATAGGTGAACTTATCTTGATCCACAACAAACCAAGTATTCAAAGCCTGTTGATCTTCAATATCCGTTGTATGATATGAATGCAATTTACATTTATACACAAAATAAACAATAATACATTTTATGATTATAAATTTTAGCAAATATACTTACATGACCAATGAATGTTTGAGCTGGTTTATTTTCCAATATTGTTAATTGTTGTGGATTTAATACATATTCAGGTGGTTCATCATTTACATCCAAAATTGTTATAACAATTCGAGCTAATGCAAAAAATTCACCATCACTAGCACGTACTGTAAAACTATACATATTACGTTGTTCATAATCTAATTTCTGTTGAACAATCACGTAACCATTTGATTTAATAAAAAATTTTAATGTAGTATTTAAATCAACACCATTTTCCATTGAATATGTGATGGTAGAATTGACATCTTTATCCGTTGCTTTCAACTATTAATTGAAACAAAATAGAATGTTATATACACCAACATTATTGTATAATCAATGTTATAAACACTATGCAATCTAAGTAGATCGGATGACCATTGCAAAGTACTTCAACAATAATTCCTCACGCAACTAAAAAGAGAGAACATGCAATGATTTCAGTTTTTTTGAGTTTAATAATAACCTCTGAAACCTAGGGTAAATATCATTACGGCAGAGTACATGCAGTCCAGTATGAAGCTAGGTGCATGGTTCATTATATAATTTTGGGTCATGATAATGATCCTCCCACAGGTTCACTTACGGAAACTTTGTTACGACTTTTACTTTCTCTAAACAGTCAAATCTGATCATCTTCTCAGCATCAGTCAATAGGGAAAGCCACTATAACGACACCAATCCAACAACCTCACTAAACAACTGAATCTCTAGTAGCGACCGGCATTATATATATATATATATATATATATATATATATATATATCATTTGATTAGATCTATTCAAATTTATACATAATAAGAATTGTAAGCAGAGATGGATAGTGGCTAGCAGCGGAATCCAGGACGCGCGTTCCGTCCTATTTTGGACTCGTCAGCTGGATGTACCTGCTTCTCAGAGTTGATGTTCACTCTGGGACTCGAACACAGTACCCTCGCTTCAAACGCCATCGCGTTATTCACTCGGCCACTGAGTCCTGATAGCCACTTGCTTGTACGATGGCGTTTGAAGCGTGGGTACTGGGTTCGAGTCCCAGAGTGAACATCTACTCTGAGATGCAGGTACATCCAGCTGACGAGTCCCAAATAGGACGAAACGCGCATCCTGGATTCCACTGCTAGTCACTATCCATCTCTGCTTACCATGCTTGTGAATTAAGGCTATATTGAGGCAATACGCACAGTATGCACATATGCCAATTAGAGACTGACCAGTTGCAGTCCTAACAAATCGATGGGAAGATTCAAACAAACAATACTTAATGAATAATAAGAATTGTTCATGGAATGGTTGCTAAGAGTAATACTCATGGTCACCTTTATAATATAATGAAATTGAAGTTCAAAGTTTCAGTAAAAAATCTTTTTTCATATACCCTAATAACCTTATTAATTCTCACGTTTATAATAAACTTCATTCAGGACATTAGAAAGCTAAATGTAGTATCACTAGTATGATTAACATTTAGACGAATAACTCATGTATATATTATATCATGGAAAATACAAGATCACATTATACTGCAGACAGTAAATTTCAATAAGTAACTGTGATACAAAGCTGAATAACAGATTCTTAAGTGAGTGGTAGAAAATATAGAATCAATTCATGGTTCGAAAACATGATTTGAACTTTGGGGTTAAATAAAAAATATAAAATAATTATTTAGTAAATACTTAGCAACAATACGCTAACTAATTAACCAATAAATAATTATCGAACCTATATATTTTAACTTCTTTCAACCATCTCAAGAATGAGATATACATTGTTACAAAGATCAATCTCAATAGAAGGTGTAAAATTTATTGTATCATATAGTTATCAAATTGATAAACTTATGAAATATCTCCCAACTAAGAAAGGTGAAAATGTGAAGTTATTCAATTTTGAATCTATAATGATTATGAATTGTCAATACAGTTCCACTGTATGAGTTCCACTGTATAGAGAACTATGAAAGCCATCATCCAGAAGATACAGGTGTTCATTAACAGCTGTCTATGCAAGACACTTCGGATTCGTTGGCCAGACACTATCAGCAACATCCTACTGTAGGAGACAACAAACCAGATTTCACCGGTGGAAGAAATCAGGAAGAAGCGTTGGAAGTGGATAGGACACACATTGAGGAAATTACCCAACTACGTCACAAGACAAGTCCTCACATGGAGTCGTGAAGGCCAAAGGAGAAGAGGAAGATCAAAGAACACATTACGCCGAGAAATGGAAACAGACATGAGAAGAATGAACAAAAGTTGGATAGATTTAGAAAGGAATGCACAGGGCAAAGTGAGTTGGAGAATGCTGATCGGGGGCCTAATGCTCCATTGGGGTAACAGGCGTAAGTAAATAAGTAACGATTATGAATTTTAATGCTAGTCACTATCCATCTTTGTTTATAAAGCTTGTGACTTAAGGCAATATCGAGGTAGTTCGCATAAGATGCACATATGACAACAAGAGATAGATCAATTACGGTCCTACAGAACAATGGGAAGACACAAGCAAACAACATCAAATGAATTCATGATGATTATTGTTCATTTATTATCCTTCATTGTAATTCATTTAATTTAAGGATATTTTCAAAACAAAACAAAGAAATTTACTAGTACTAATGTCATAAATAAATGTTACCTGTCATTTATAATGTGATTGGTTAAAACAATGACTGACAAGGTCATATAAGCTGTATTTCTCCATTTTATTATACTACATGTGTAATGCTTAGAATAAGGTCAAGTTAAGTTAAATGTCGTCATATTTTCTTCTATTCATGAAAAAATAGAGTTCTATATTCTAAATGTATGTCAGTAGTAGGTTGTAGCAATATAACTTATACTCAATATATAATGAGCATGATATTTCTAAAGTAAAAGTGGTTCATTATGGTTAGTCAAATGGTTGTAGTAGATATGTTTTGTTCTTTGTTTGGATCAGTGAGTGAAATGGTACTTTCCTGTAGCTCTTCCAGAGTTACTGCCGGTCACAACCCCACACATAGGAGGAGGGTTGGGTATGAGGTCGATAACCCCATCCCGTAGAAAAAAATCCTTCTGAAAATAACGCCAACCAGATATAAGGAACTGCTGAGTATCCTGATGTTAAATTTAGATATACAAATAGAATCTCTATTATAAAACTAACATCTTTATGAACTGCAAAGCCGTTAATATCAAACGACGGTGCAGCAAATTCAACTTAGAGTATCATTTCCCAATTGGATTATAAATAAGTCAAACCTGAAGTAACAATCACTTTGTAACGAACGTACACTAAGGTGGGAATAAATAATTGTTCTCCAGAACAAACTACAGAGGATCTTGCTGAAATGAGAGAATCATAAACTAAATACTTCATTTGAAAATTTAAATCATTTGTCTTTCACATTCAGCTATATTTATCTCTATTACACTGTGAACTTCAATAATACTAAGATAGTTAAACATGAAGATTTAGATAAACTGAATGAAGATAGAAACGCTCCGTACGAGAACATGATTCCAACGTTGAAAATTATTCGCCTAAAACAAATAATTCAACTAAACTTCAGTTAGATAAACTTCGCACGCGGGACCCGAACCAAAGACTTTTGGTCTGGCGCGCCAAATCGTGGAAGTGCACTGCTGAGTAGCCCCACACCGGAACAAAACGGTCGTCTATTGCTTCCAGGTTTTAAATGATGGCCTAACATCTAGTCATTCATGATGTCAATCTAAACTCAACAATCTCTACAACTCCATACTGATAAATGTTTTCATGTGAACGCATATTTTCTCATTCAATAATAAATAGTTGTTTTTTGTTATCTTATATTTGATCTATGAAGAAATATACATGAGATTTTAAAATAGAGGTTACAAAGTGCTGAATGTCAAATTATTACTTTTCTTTTTCGAACTTATTTAAAGATCAGGATATACAACATGGATGGTGTGTGTGTGGTGATAATGATATTGATGACCAAATGTCTTCTAAACTATTCTTTTTCCTGGCTTACTCTTCTAATTATGCATAAATTTTAAATGGATAATGTAGAATAAGACAAAAAAACGAGTTGGCAATTAGAATCTTTACAAATAATTTAAGTAGACAATGATAGTTAAGAATAAAATTTTTATTGTTGATCAACATTTTGATCACGTTTTGTAAATTAGCATATTTTAAATAGTTAACATGTTAAGATATCAATACCATGATCAAGACATCTTCAGGAAGATGTGTTTGTTTACATGACAGAAAATAACGTATGTTTTGTAAATGTCTACATTTGATAAAATTGGAACGATTTGCGATTTGTACTGGTTTACAGACTTAGGTAAATTAAGAGATCTACAGTGAATTGTTTGTTAAGTAACAACGAATCAGATACGGGATCGGGGATGCGCACTGCTGAGGAGTCACAAAATAGGACGAAATAGCCGTCCAGTGCTTCCAGGTCAATGTCTAACTTCGACCGATCCACGAAACTGAGCGACACATCTATCATTATCTTCAGTGAGTTTCTATCTCACAACAGACCTGGTTCAATTCCACTGGTCACTGCTTCTCACTAGAACTCCAGGAAATACCACATGGAGCCAATCACTGATGAGTATATGTTGATTATTATCAGAAGGGTGATCTAGCTTCAATTGATTCATGATCTTAATTATCAAAATTACTATAATGTTCGCGAAACCCCTTCTGACAATGAACTGTTTCTATGATAATATCGTGTTCAGTTTATGTTCATATTCTTCCCCCCTTAATCCAGAAATGTTTTAAAATTTCGGAATTACATATATCTACATATCTACACTAAAAAGGTTTTTTCGCTTAGTTTCAAGCTTTTTTTGATGTTCAGATGAGGATTAGAACACTAGGAAATAGTAATTGTCCATCTTTTTAATTGTAGAAATAACTATCTTGTTAACTATGTTCATTTATGAAAGGACTGGTTAATAAATAGTCGTAATAAGAGTAATAACAACTGCATAGAAGATGATAATTAGTGTAATTATCGTGACAATTCAACATTATATCATCAGCTGATATAATAATAATAATAATAATAATAATAGCTAGCTTCTGAAGAAACCAGCTATTCATCTATCTATCTAGAATTAGTGCACATTTCTATCCCTTCTTATAAAAACAAGTTGTGTAAGATCAGAATAAATATAATATGAAAGGTTTGTACACCATAATAAGTTGTAAATTCACATGGTGTTGTTTATTTGTATCTTCCCATCGTTATTTAGGACTTCAGTTGCTCAGTCTCTTGTTGGCATATGTACAGCTTATGTGGACTGCCTCGATATTACCTTAGGTCACAAGCTTATAAACAAAGATGGATAGTGGTTAGCAGTGCAATCCATGACATACGTTTCGTAACATTTTGAACTCGTCGGCTGAATGTAGAAGAATTGATGTCCACTCTGGGACAAGAACTCAGTGCAGTTTGCTTTACACGCCATTGCGTTATCCACTTAGCTACTGAGTACTGATAAGCAATACTAGGTTGAATCAGCTATCAAACACATTGGAACTCATAAAAACCCTTAAATGAAACATACTTTACTTTAAAAGAAAAAGAACTACTCATTTTCTATCTAGTAATTCTTATGTAATTGTTCAGCAAAAGATACTGTGAAATATCGAAATTCGCTATGACCAAAAAACATCAGATTTTAGAATAAACGCAGTTGTTTATTATAAAAGTGATATAAATCACAAAAGTGATAAATAGGTGTTTTAGAGAAGTTGAAGTATTCCCGAGGACAAACTAGTCGCTGTGGTGAATAACTCGTTTATATACATAAACACAGTCATACTTTATTCAATATATGCACAAACTTGAGTTAGAATTCTTATATGTATTCGATCTATATGCTTAGTCGCGGTTTTCGTTGTGACCCAGTGTAGAAACAATCTTATATCTTACCTTTGAGCCTTTTTTTGTTTCTAACAATCAAATGAAATTTACAATTTTACATCATGAATTGACTTGAAGTAGACAATCTTTGAAATACATAGAAAAATGAACTGTTGTTTCTTTGTACATGGGAAATAGCAGATCTTGCTTAATCAGTCTATATTAACTTGTTTACTACTCTATGTCCGATACTGAATATTGAAAACAAAAGAATTGATAGTTTTAGCTAATGATCTTTAATCAGCCAATTATTGTAAATCATAGACTGCTTGAATATCTGGGCTACCTGTTCCTGCCATCTAGACATTTCAACAAGTTATTCCTTTCCTTGTTTGTTTCAACACATCATTATGTCAATCGATTGTATAACCTGTTCAGGTGCATTTATGAAAAGTTTACAACATTTGGTTGTACAAGTTACAAAAACGTGCAATCAGAGACATCGTGGTTGATGGCAATATGCATTGTAATCAATGTATATTATTCACATGTCAACTTGTGAAATGCTAGTATCTAACCGGCAATCACTCAATATTCATCGTCAAGATTGATAATGAAATAAGAAAAGGAAACTTATTGAAATGCTTTGTGCTGCAGCCTACATATTAAATTATATGTTTTTATGTTCAACTCCAAAGTCAACAAGTTTTGAATCCATGAATTGAATTCAAAACAGTTTTCGTTGTGTATCACTGTTAGCAAAAAATATTTGTTGGATGCACAGTCATTTCAATCAAGTTTAATTGTGACTAGCAGCAAAATCCATTACACTTGTTAAATCATATTTGGAACTTGTGAGTCGTACTCATCTCCATCACAGTTTTGATAATAACACTGAATTTTGAACACAGTACCTATCACTTCGAATGTCAACACACTGTTCATTAAACTAATGAAACCGTAGATCTACCGACTTGTACAACTTATATGAAGTTATTTGTAATTTTTTGTATGTTCTCATTCTTGATATAAAGGACCGTACGTAGTCAACATATTTTCACATTTGAATTATATTAATAAACAGTTTATGGTAAATTTAGATTGTCTAGCAGCGATAGCGGAAGAGACTGATTGATTTCAGTCCATAATATTAATAACAAGAAAATAGAAACCCTCACAAGTAAAGTTATATTCATGTTTAACAAAGAAATATACAGTTTCACATTATGTTAATGCATAATATAAATAACCTAGAACAATTGGATAGAACTATAAAGAAAGGTCCATGACAGAATGGGTTAGAGAATTCTGGTCGGGCGGCCTATGCTTCTTTAGGAGTAACATGCGTAAGTAAGTAAGTTAGTAAGTATGTAAGTAAGTATAAACAACCTAATCACAATTGATTGATCAGTGGGTGGTGATCAATGTCATGCGTGTCAAGTCCTTCTTAGTGCTGATTGAAAGCTATCGATCAAGTTGCAATGTGGCCATTAGTCTAGGTGGCTCGACACTGTGTGCACTATGTTGATATAAGATGGTGGTTAGAGGTAGTCAACAAGAAACCCTGAACCCGGGTTTCGTTCGATAGCATTCGATCAGCATTGAGAAGGACTTGACACGCATGACATTGATCACCACCCAATGATCAATCAATTGTGATTACATCACAGTCCTACAGGAGGTCGATCGCGGCCCGAATAGCTCAATGGTAACGTCTCTGACTGTGAAGCTGAGTGACACGGGATTGAATCCATCAGGTAGTAACAGTTCCCTCAAGATTACAGGTACACCTTGCTGACAAGTGCTAAGTAGCATGAAACCCGGGTTCAGGGTTTCCTGTTGACCACCTCCAACCACCACCTTATAAACAATCTAGAATGTAATAAACAAAATGTATTAGCTGACTTTTAAAAAAATCTACCATTCACTTACTTCATAAATTGTTGAATTCACTGGAATATCTTCTTTTATTTGTATTTCATAAACTGCTTTTGAAAATGTTGGTTCAATATCATTGATATTCAATACTTCTACAAAGATTTCTAAACGATCTTCTATATTCATCATATCTAAATGTTGATCACCAGTAATATATGGTGATGAACAAACTAAATAAAATTTATATTCTTTAATTAATTCATAATCTAAATCTTTTTGTAAAACAAGTACCAATCGTGAATCATTTCGTACAACTAAACGAAATGTTTCTAATGCATTTGATTTATCATCAGGATGTGAATCAAGACGATAAACTAATTCAGCATGATGTGGTTGGATATCTTTATCAATTGCTTTAGGTAATTCAATAGATTTACCAATTCGATAAATCACCTCTTTCAATCTTAATTTATAAGGTCTTGATACAGTGGATGGAAATTTTGGTTGATTATCATCAATATCAGTAACTGTAATTTCAATATTGACAATACAGATTAATTGGTAATTTACCCATATATTCACATAGATATTTAATTGTGCATGATATGTATTCTCTTTACAATATCTTGGGCATAATGTTTCTAAATCAATCACCTTCTTAGTAGTCAATATACTTGTTGCTTCATTTACATTAAAATAATTGGATGGTTCACGTAAACGATAAAATGAATTTGTTTGTTTAGATGTTTGTAATAAATTGTATAGACGAGTTGATCGGATCTCTGGTGTTTGTATAAGATCATCATTAATTTTACCAATTTTAAAATTGATCGGTTGATTTTCTGTAATAGCATAACGTAAATTATATTGAGGTGTTTTAGGGTTAACATTGACATCATTATTATTGCTATTAGTAATAGTATTCAATGTATTAGGAAGATGATTATTAATACTACTGATCAAATTATAAGTAGGTAATAATGATGATAAAGCGTTTATTGAAGAATCATGATAGAACATTGAAATTTGTAAATAATATGGAATCATGATAAACCATACTAGTGTAGTAATAATCCAGTCTGTGATTAAATATTTCTGTGACATTCTTTTGGTCTGATGAAGTGAAGGAAAGGAAAAAAAGGGGGGAAACAAAACAAAATAAATACTTGAAGGATCATAGCACTATAAATAATAAAAATAATCATGCTAATATATTAACTTTATAATACATTGAATATGGACATATACTAAAGCCAATGTGGATCAACTTCATTAATGACATAAACATTCACATTTTTAATAAAAGTGATCTTGATTACAGTATGAAAACACAATGAACAGAATATAGCAGCTCATGGTACAATTGAGTTTGTTCATATCTAGTTTGGTTAAGCCCATTTTGTTAACTTATTTAACTAACAGAGTCATTCGTACAATAACAATCTATCTATACTATTGTACCCTTATTATGTACGCTTCAGCATTGCTTACTGCCTATGCATATATTCATTCTGCTAGCCTTGCTAATAATCGCTTAATTGATTCGATGATTCATTCATTTCAATATGTATATACATGAACATTTTAATTCTGTCCACTGACCCTCTGACTAGTACACTCGTTTACTCGTTTGTTCATTCGACTCTCACGCTCACTCGCTTTCTTTTTTGGTGCTACTCTTTCAGGCTTGCTTAACGTACCTGAAATTTTGGATGTCTGTGAGTGGTTCTATAATATACGCAATCAAACCTTCGTATTAGGCTTCTGATTTATACACCGATGGGCTGTTCTAGAGTAACGGTTATTAGGACGAACGGTATACGAAATTTAAGGATAATATCGAGTACCGACAAGATTTTATTTTATGATACTTCTTTTTCAAATATTTCACTTTAATTGGCCATATAAAACAGTGACAGATTGAAAAGATTTATTTTCCAATTAAGAAATTGATTATCATATTTTTGGCATTCATTGTTTTAACGTTTACCGTGTTTCCTTTTTTGTAAAACAAAATTAAAGACTTCTGTATAAACAGGCAACTATCGTGCTAAATACTAAAAATTAAGTGTTTGAAAGATTCTTTTGAAATTTTAAGCATCAGTGCTTTGATGGCGTTGTTCTATTCTCTGAAATGAATAATGAATACCATCCATAAACGACAATGAAATCATTTCATTTTAAATCATCCAGTTTATAAAATTATTTACTTATTTATCTGAACACATAAATATTGATACAAGAAGGCACCGAATGCATATGCGCCTCACTTGATTTGTGTGAGAACTGAGATACTTCTCGTGTGCCCAAATCAAAACCGGCGGTTTTCCTAGAGGGCGACACTCCGAACCTTTAACGTGATTGTCTAATCCTCAAGGTAGGGGAGTAACGTTACGAGATGCAGTCAAATGGAAGCTGGTGGTCAACAATAGGTTCATAAACCATTTCTTCACTCAGAATCCTGGAACTTATGTACAACATTGATTTGGAATCAAGGTTTTCCAACTACCTTAGGTGGATCCTCCATATCAACCAACACAGTTAAGGTGCCTTACATCCTTTTTTCGTTCTTCCAATTCCTTAAACAACACCCCCGCCACGAGAAGGCATTGAGCAGGAATTATCTGGCAGTGACAATATACGCGTGATCATGTGTGAGCGTTTTGAGAGGAAGAGCGAACTCTGCTCATCCTCGATCATGTCAGAGCATTTGTGGACAGTTTACAAAATGCATTATCAACAAGCAAATCCACCTGAATAATGGATTTCTTCCATTTTATTTTAATGTCGCCATTCAGTTCCAAATTATAATCTTACCATACAATTATATCAACATCTTTAATTTCATCATTTTACACTTATTAACTTGAAGTTTCCAAGTATATGTCATATGTTCTATTGAAACTGATGGTTTCAATTAACAAGTAAAGTAATGTAATTTGAAAAACAAACAAAATTTACTTAACCTAAGATCAGTAGAAGAGAAAGAAATCATAAGAAAGCCTAACTAAATTCACTTAGTATTGTTTGTTTAAATCTTTCCATTGATATTTAAGACGGGAATCGATTAGTCTCTTATTGACATATCTGCATCCTGTGCGAATTGCCTCGATATAGCCTTAATTCACAAGCATTATAAACGAAGATGGATAGTGGCTAGCATCAACTCTGAGATGAAGGTGCATCCAGCTGGCGAGTCCCAAATGGGACGAAACGTGAGTCCTGGATTCCACTGCTAGCCACCATCCATCTTTGCTTATAAAGCCTAATTAAGTTCATTCTTTGTCTATGCATGATCATAGGGTATTTCTAACCTTTTACAATGTATTATTAATTTTCTTCAATTATACTCGAAATACCTTAATTATACTTATCTACATTATTGTTATTAGTTATTTATTAATACTATTACTAGTATTAGTTCAATCAATATGGATATCTTTCATTGTTCCTTGAACATTAAATTCAAATAAATATTTTACTGGATTTAAATAAAAATCAAATAATCTCCATAAATATCCCATATCAACAGCAATCATATGCTTAGTAGTAAACGAATCCCCTCCACCCAGTGGGAAGCTGTAACCAATGAACATCTATACCAGGATTAAGGCAATTATCACTTATGATGATTGATGACTTTCATCAAACAGTATAAATGACTAAAGTGCAAAACGTGAAGAATTTAATAACAACTTAATGATTTTATGGTCATATACAAGCTACAAGGTCTTATGGTCTTGGATTAGAACCTTGATGGGGTCATTATGAGTAATAATGAGACATTCTAAACAAAAAAGAAATGTTTGTATTCACTTTGTTTTGGTTTTCAATGATTATGCTTCCAGGTTTTCCATGGTGGTCAAGCTACAATTGATTCCCGACTACTAAACTATTATTTATCATAATTATGTATCAAAATTTTCGAAGTTGAAATCATGGGTCAATTGAAGCTAGACCGCCATGGAAAACCTGGAAGCACTAGACGGCCGTTTCGTTCTATTATGGGACTCCTCAGTAGTGCGCATCCACGAACCCGCACTTGAGACTGGTAGGTTCTGGGTTCGAATCTCGCGAGTGCGGGATCGTGGATGCGCACTGTTGAGGAGTCCCATAGCAGGACAAAACGGCCGTCCAGTGCTTCCAGGTTTTCGATGGTGGTCTAGCTTCAATTGACCCATGATTTCAACTATGAAAATACTAAATTCTCCACAAAACCCCTCTGATCTGTAATCATAATTGCTATAGATTATAAATTTATTTTGTTATTGTTGCTTTCTTCACTTCATCGACTTTCCTTGAATTAACTTTAAAATTTCGTTGTTCCTTTTCTAATCAGGTTTTTTTTGGAAAAAATATTATGTTCCAAATTAGATAGGTACTAATATCCAGATCATGTTTTCATTAATGAGAGAAATGCATACAATGCCTTTTTGAATACGTTATTGATAGATTATGTTGTTTATCGATATTAATTTTCCTTCTTTATCAACTAATCAATTGGCATTCTCTTGAATAGTCCTATACTAAACATATATATCGACAGAGATATTATGTACAGATAATCTAGTTTGCCAAATCGTCGAGTCATTATATCAATAACTTTTGAATTTAGTCGACTCTGAACAGAACATTTTTATGGTCAATAAAACAAAGATCATTTTAAAAAAAAGATTGCTACAATCTAGTAAAAAATTACGATTTAGTATATATATATACTATTTATTTGGAATCTTCAATACGAACATCAACACAGTTCTACAGTACGAAACTGAAACTTTGAGAACTATCACAATCGTCATCAAAACAGTACACGTATTAATAAACAATTGTCTACGTAAGATACTCATTATTCGTTGGCAGGATATCATCAGTAACGGCTTACTGTAGAAGAGAACAAACCAGGTTTTAGCTGAAGAGGAAATTAGGAAACGACACTGGAAGTGGATAGGACATACATTACAGAAATCATTAAACTACATCATGAGGCAAGTCCTAACTTGTAATCCTGAATGGAAATGAAAAAGAAGAAGACTAAAGAATACAACACGTTGAGGATTAGAAGCAACTGAAAAAGAATTGCCTAAGAGAGAGTTGGATGGAAAATGCCGATATGTCTTTGTTTCTCGACGAGGAGTAACAGGTTTAAAGAAGTAAGTGTATGATTAATAAATAATATTAATTCTACAGAACAATTACAAACAGTAGAGTTCAAAATATTTTTATGTTGATATATTGTAGTGAACAGGAACACTAGTGATGACAATCAAATATATTTGAGCACAAAATTACAGACTACCTCACTAAAATCTGACAACCATACAGTTAATTTTTCTAACTATTAATCAATTGTCTCGATCTTAACCGTCCCTTCTGCAAATATAAGTTCATAGTCTTTGATTATTATTGTACATGCATTTTCATACCAATTGCGTTTCCTTTCCGTTCTTTTGTTATCGATCTTCTACTGAAATACATTCAATGCCTAACCATCACTATATACTACTTCTGTGGATAACAGTGACCCACACCACAAAATAAGATGTTGAGTAAAATTTACAAAATTACGAAACCATATCTCAAGACAATTCACATAACAGAAATTATTATCACATGGACAATTGTTAATATTCAGAATTGTGATTGATCGCTCTAACGTGGTACATGTACATCTTGTACGAATTGTCATAATATTGTCTTTATAACAAGCTTTCAATATATTCATCCGAAATAGAATAAAAATTGTTAATAGACGCACTCAGAATCCATACTAATCAGTAGAGACAGATGTATTACAGTCTTTCATATCAGCGACCAGAAATTCAACCCTATACAAATAAAGTCAGTTAACCTTAGGAGTACTTTGGAACTATTTAATTTCAGTTTCCATAGACAATTAGCATTAAATAAATCATTTAATAAGGTGAAGTGAAATATTACCTACCAGAATGAAATTTGTCAGCTTCCCTCTAAGTAGGTAATATCATTAAACAATAAATTTATTATAGTTGAAAGCGTGAGTCAATTGAAGCTAGACCACCATGGAAAACCTGGAAACACTGGACGGCCGTTTCGTCCTATTATGGGACTCCTCAGCAGTGCGA